CCCCACCCCCTCCCTCCTCTCTCACACAAACACACACACACAAAATCATCACCTAGTTTGACGTCCTCATAAAGATTGTTTTGTGTGTTTGTTTTTTTTTTGAGTGGGGGCGGAGAGTGAGGGTAGACACGCGAGGGGTGCGCCGCAGTTCCGCAAAGGGGTGCTCCGCGGGCCGCGAGGGTGCGTCGCGGATCCATGAGGGGTGGCTCGCGGTCCCCGAGTGTACTTCGCGGGTCCTTGCGCCCCCCACGATTACTCCCGCGAAACCGCGGGGTAGCTCGCGGTTATGCGGGGTTCATATGCCCGCACCCCTTCGCAAGTTGCCGCCGGTTTCCACCGCGCTACCCCCTCCCTGGGTAAAAAAAACATGGGGCTGTCCATGAGCCATGGACATAAATTTAACCATGGATTTTTGTGACCATAGATTTATGGAACCAGTAAACCATGAAAACAACAGTTGACCATGAGTATATGGCGAATGGATTGCATCGCCATGGCTAATGTGCTGCATCGCAAGGGATGACCAGGAGAATTGGCTTTCATGGTCACAACAACTAAGTCCATGAATGTGTCCATGGTTACTATTACCATTGTCATGTAGAACGTCTATGAACACACGTTTGGACATGATACTGTTGTCAATGGACACAAAGACCATGACAGAACTAATCAATGGCCAACTGTAATAGTAATGGACATGGGATGTTCCCTCATGGTCTACGTTTACGATGGCGAGCGTTTGTGTCAATGGGCGTGCAGTCATGGTCACAACCGTTGACCATCGGGACACGTCCATGAATACAACCTGGTCCATGACAAGCCATGCACCTAGGACCATGATCAAACGATAGCCATGTCAATGTCAACGGTACTTTCCATGGCCACATCGTTTCATAAATCTATGACCATGGCAAGAAGGCACTATGGTTCATGGTCAGAACGTGTGTGGCCATGGGAGCAGCTGGCTGCTAGCTGGCCATGGAATTGATTTGCCATGGTCAGTATCCATAGAAATTGATTTACCATGGTCCATGGCCATGAACACACACATACCATGGCCACAACCCTGCCCATGTAAATCAATCTCTGTGGACCATGGGCAATCAATTCCATGGCCAGCTGGCAGCCAACTGCTCTGATGGACACATTTTGACCATGAACCATTGTGCCTTCTTGCCATAGTAATTTCTTGTCCATAGATTTATGGAACGACGAGGGCATGGAAGCCCTTTTGCCCATGAAATCGTCTGTCCACGGTGCAATTGTTTTATAAACCATGGCCAGAACCTGTCCATTGCTGTTCATTTTGCCATGGTCAGTTCTCGTTCATGATTTTAAAACACAAATCGAGGGGTGCCCAACTCGAAAAAATCGTGTACACCTTATTACCAAAAAGTGATGATTACCAAGGATTACCAGAGACTACCGAAGATAACCGAAGATTACCCATGATTACCAAGGGTTTCTGAAGATTACCACTGACAAAAGATTACCAGAGATTACGAAAGATTGCCATTGATTACCTATGATTACCAGTGATTACCAAAAATTACCAGTGATTACCAAAGATTACCAGTGATTACCAAAGATTACCAGTGATTACCAAAGATTACCAGTGATTACAAAAGATTGGAATTTCCTTGCTGGATTACTTAGTGATTACTAAAGATTACCTGGTGATTACCAACAATTACCTGATGATTACCAACGATTACCTAGTGATTACCATGGATTACCAGCGATTACCAAGGATTACCGGTGATTACCAAGGATTACCAGTGATTACCAAGGATTACCGGTGATTACCAAGGATTACCGGCGATTACCAATGAATACCGGTGATTACCAGGGATTACCTACTCTGTGTACACCTGATTACCTCAGTTGGGCGCCCCTCGAATTGTACACTTGCCGGTCGCTTTTAAAATAAGAAGCCAACCAAAGCTGACAAACCTTACTCAATACAGATAATCAGTTATGGTCAGCGAAGCGTTGGAGAATTTCTGCATGGAAATAAGTATATCGAAATGACACTTTTATGTGTACTTTTGTATAAAAGGTATACATCACTTAAAGTACAGCAGATTGGGACGGCCAATTTGTTAAGGCACTTTTGGCATACTTTTTTGGGGAACGGCCATTTCGTTTA